TTTTAAGCAGTGTAAGGACCCGAGGTGAATCCACCTTGGGAGAGCTAAAGGGCCCCACTGCGCCATCCGCAGTCACCGTCTCTGTCCCAGGCACCTCTTTGGGCTAGTGGCTCCCTTGCCACATGCCTGCTGTGGATGACAAGGGGACTCCATTCCAGAGGTGCCTGGTCTGAAGAAAAGAAGGGAAGGACGGGCAGGCATAGTTGCAGCAATGAAAAAAAAGAGGAATCAAAAATGGTTTTTAGGCTGGGCACATGGCTCACACCCATAATCCCAGCACTTTGGGAGGCCAGGGTGGGCAGATCACTTAAGGTCAGGAATTCAAGACCAGCCTAGCCAACACGGTAAAACTCCATCTCTACTAAAAACACAAAAATTAGCCCTGTGTGGTGGCGCACACCTGTAGTCCCAGCTACTCAGGAGGCAGCAGAATCCCTTGAACCTAGGAGGTGGAGGTTGCAGTGAGCCAAGATCATGCCACTGCACTCCAGCCTGAGCAACAGAGGAAGACTCCATCTCAAAAAAAAAAAAAAAAAAAAGTTTTTTGGCCGAGTGCGGTGGCTCACGCCTGTAATCCCAGCACTTTGGGAGGCCGAGGCGGGTCGATCACGAGCTCAGGAGTTCGAGACCAGCCTGACCAACATGGTGAAACCTCGTCTCTACTAAAAATATAAAACTTAGCAGGGCGTGATGGCACACACTGTAATCCCAGCTACTCAGGTAGCTGAGGCAGGAGAATTGCCTGAACCTGGGAGGCGGAGGTTGCAGTAAGCCAAGATCGTGCGACTGCACTCCAGCCTGGGCAACAGAGTGAGACTTCGTCTCAAAAAAAAAATCAGTTTTTCAAAAATAAAAAGGAATTCCAAATAATCCTTGGTTCGTCTCAGCAGCTTCCCTATAAAGAAAAGATCAAATTTTTAAACTTTAATAGAAACTTCAAATTTGTCTGCAGTGTTCAGTGTAATTTCACTTTTACCTGCATACAGACTGCTCACATAAAGTGATCAATTCTTGATCCAGGTTCTTCCATTTGCACAAACCTGGAGCAGGTTCTCTCTGCAGTTACTCAGGAGCTGTGTGCAGTTTGCTGAGTGTGTGCACTGGTGGACAGCAAGCCCTTCCTCCTACAAAGGCTGCCTCGCTTCCCACAGGCCTGGTACAGATCAGAGCCGTCACAGGCACCTGTGAGTGTGGAGTGCTGAGAGCGTAGAGGCTCTTCATGTCATGTCTATCAAAAAATAATACCAGCCTCTCAGTCTCTCCTCAGATGCCTCCTTTGCGTAATAGAAAAACAACAGTACTCTTCCCATCCTTCAGGATGGCGACTGGAAACTCTGTGGGGAAGGAGCGCTGAGAGCAGATGGCTGCCTTCCTCCTGCCAGCCTCACCCCTGGGACCGCAGCTGGGGCCCAGCCCTCATTGAACCCAGTGCCGTGGGGCAGGAACAACCAAACCGATGAAGGCCGTAGTTTCTCAGCATCTCCAGTAAAGCCGCTTACTGTTCTTTTGATTTAGACTTTAAATCTATTGCCTTAATCCAATCAGCCAAGTGGGATGGTAGGCTGTGGTTTGCCTGTCCTGCCCTTCGCCTGGGGTTTTATGAAGGTTAAGTGCAAGGGCTGGGGAAAGCTGTGTGACTGGCACGTGCTGGCCTGTGCTGGACATGGAATCTGCTCATTACCACTGGGGGTTCTGTACCAAAGTGGGAAGATGGCTCTCCATGCTGCTGCTGCTGAGTCACCAGGAGCTGGGACTGGAATGCCACAGGACATTCTGTTTTCTTTGAAGGATTTTTTTTTTTTTTTTTTAAGAAGGAGTTTCACTCTTGTTGCCCAGGCTGGAGTGCAATGGCGCAACCTGGGCTCATCACAACCTCTGCCTCCTGGGTTCAAGCGATTCTCCTGCCTCAGCCTCCTGAGTAGCTGGGATCACAGGCATGCGCCACCATGCCCGCCTAATTTTGTATTTTTAGTAGAGACGGGGTTTCTCCATGTTGGTCAGGCTTGTCTCGAACTCTCAACCTCAGGTGATCCGCCTGCCTCAGCCTCCAAGATGCTGGGATTACCGGTGTGAGCTACTGTGCCCGGCCTCTTTGAAGGATTTTTATAATCAAATGAAGTCTTTGTGTTCATCCCTGGGACAGCAAGGCAAAGTGACTTAGAGTGTAATATGTGTTACACTAAAAATAGTTAATAATGTGATCTCGTAGACAACCCAGAATCTTTTGCTGTTGAATCACCCCTGTAATTATATGCAGTTCAGAGTTGTCAGTGCCGTCCCAGCCGCCAGCCTGTGCTGCTGCTATGCGCAAAGTGCAGTGAATTCAAGGGTGGGGAGATGCCAGAGGGGGACTGTGAAGTGTTTAAAGGGGCCTATTCCCATGCCCCACTTGAATTCATTATAATGCAGATCACCAGCTACACTTTTATGACAAATGTTTTCATGAAAACGTACCTGTCTCGAAGGATGTTCAAGTCACAGTGAGCAACTGGCTTGTCTGATGAGGTTGATACAGCAGCTGGGCACCTTGACCCTCATCCTCTAGTAAGCTTTGTTGCTAGGTTAGACTAGCTTTAGTGTTAACATTCTAGACCCTACCATAGAGCTTGAAAGGAGGAATAGAGGTCATATTTAATCAGAAAGGAATTACTCAGGTGACTACAAAAGACCACTTATTTCTAAAGGAATACTTTTGATCTGTAGGACACGGTTGACACCATTTGACTTAACCCTTTGAGTAAAACCTCGGTGGTAGCAATTCTTAACCTACCATGTTCATCGAAAATACTGTGATGTTGGCCGGGTGCGGTGGCTCACACCTGTAATGTCAGCACTTTGAGAGGCTGAGATCGGTGGATGAGACCAGCTTGGCTAACACAGTAAAACCCCATCTCTACTAAAAGTACAAAAAATTAGCCGGGCATGATGGTTCACGCCTGTAGTTCCAACTACCTGGGAGGCTGAGGCATGAGAATTGCTTGAAGCCAGGAGGTGGAGGTTGCAGTGAGCCAAGATCGTGCCACTGCACTCTAGCCTGGTCGACAGAACGAGGCTCTGTCTCAAAGAAAAAAATACAGGCCGGGTTCGGTGGTTCACCCCTGTAATCCGAGCACTTTGGGAGGCCAAGGTGGGCAGATCACTTGAGGTCGGGAGTTCAAGACTAGCGTGGCCAACATGGTGAAGCCCTGTCTCTACTAAAAATACAACAATTAGCCGGATATGGTGGTGTACACCTGTAATCCCAGCTACTTGAGAGGCTGAGATAGGAGAATCACTTGAACCCAGGAGGTGGAGGTTGCAGTGTGCTGAGATTGCACCGTTGCACTCCAGCCTGGGCAACAGAGCGAGACTCTGTCTCAAAAAAAAAAAAAAAAAAAAAAAATACTGTGGTGTTATAAAATATGGTAGCTGAACTGTGGGAAGAAAGTTGCCCAGGTGCCATGGCAAGAGACTGAAGGCACAGTCTATCCCAGCATAACAAATAACTTGATTACTTAATTATAGCAATGATACCAATTAGACTTAGATACAATCACATAATCAATTATATGCTCAGTCTTATTACATTACAAACGTTATTAAGCTTTGCTTTAGTATTCCAGTGGAGGAACATTTTTAGCCTCATAGTATAGAAATGATCAGGTGAAATGTAATTCGGAACTGAAAGGACATTGTGAGAAGTGATCAGGAGGCGAGAGTAAATGCCTTGCGTTAGCGCCAGGTAAGATGCCCGTTACTTAGCAGGCAAGCCTTGCAGTAATGCCAGAGCCTGGTGTTTTACACCTGTTACTTTGCAGGCCATGAGGGGGAGTTTCCCTTTCACTGGGGAGTTCAGAGAACACTCTGCACCATCCAGCTCTTGAGGAGGGTCTGACACTAGCCAGGCCCGCAGACATCCGGGGGCTTAGACACCTCTCCGTGGTGCTGTGCTCCGATGGTCACCATCCTCGTCCACTTACACGTTCCACTTTCCCACCCGATGCTCCCTTGTAAATTCTTAGAAGTAAGAGTAGAGGAATCCTAAAAGCCTTTGATCTCTCTGATAAGTGCAATGAAAGACATATGTGCCTCCTCTCCTTGCAGTGGCTGCCTGAGAGGGAGAGACCCTCTGTACTGTACCCATGTGACCCCTGTAGTATACCCAGGTGACCCCCTGAACTGTATCCACGTGCCCCCCCCCCCATATTATCAGTATATGATTTGCTTGGCCCCTACCAATCATGTCAGATGAGTCACTCTCCGGCCCTGCCCCCTACCTTGTATACAATAAATACCAGCATGTCCAGGCATTGGGACCACTGCTGGACTCTGCACCTTGGTAGCAGTGGACCCCCGGCCCAGCTGAATTATTCTCTTATCTCTGCGTCCTTGTGCCTTTCTTTTATATGATCTATCTTCTCCACACACAAAAAGAACACCCACGAGACCCTGCTGGACTAGACCCCGCACTGGCCTCCATCTTGGGCCCGCTGGTCACATTCCTCAGGGTGGGGCTTGGTCATCCATCTGTTGGTTTTGTTTTTCTCCCTGTTCTGCAGTTGATTCACATTCACTGTCCTAATCTTAGGGCCATAGATTCGAGGCCCAGAGTCTGTACTGAGCAAATGCACCGAAGGCTCAGATGCCCTGAGTGCAGTTTGACTCATGGTCAAGAGCGTGAGTTTTGGGGTCAGAAAGGCCTGCTTGCAGTTAAGAGCCCTGTGACCTGAGGCCCATTAGTTCTCAGAGACCGGTTTTCTCGTGCAGGAAATGTGCTGTGACCGTGATGGGGCGGGGTGGGGAGGGGCATTCTCAGCTGTGCATCTGCAGCACTGTGCTCCTACGGCTTGAAATTATCTCTAAAATATGTGTTTCTTCCCTTTAGGAAATCTGACTATATTTCTCCACTAGATGACTTAGCTTTTGATATGTACCAAGATCCAGAAGTTGCACAGATTATACGAAAACTAGATGAAAGAAAACGGGAAGCTGTCCAAAAGGAACGCTATGATTATGCCAAGAAACTAAAACAAGCTATTGCTGATTTGCAAAAGGTATTGCTTTTGGAGAAAACAGTTCCTCATTTATGTCTGTAATAGGTTTTATGCGTACTTATGATAACTGTATGGTAAAAGAAATGGGTTACTGAAAGCTATAAAGTTAGTGTGAGTTCAAAGATCTCAGCAAAATAAAGTTATGGAAACAGATAAGCACCTTAAAAATGTAAATGGAAGCAGAAGCTTTACTTCTTCAGACTCGTGTTCAGGTGCCACGGTCAGCCACCTCGTGACTAGGACCCCTGGCGCAGTGGGAAGATAGTAGGAAAATGAGCTATCCCCAAAGTAATGATGAGCCCATGGGCTTGCTAGACGCAGCACAGCAACAGCAGCCAGACCTTTGCAGTGACCGTGGCCCATTCCTTCCGTTTCCCTGTGCTCGTTCCCTCTCCTCACGAGACTGTTCGAGCATGATTCTAAAAATTACCTTTGCATTTGATGTGAGTTGATCCAAATTTGAAACAAAAAGCAAACATTTTGTGCTTCAGGTTGGTGAGCGTCTTGGGAGGTATGAGGTAGAGAAACGCTGTGCTGTGGAGAAGGAAGACTACGATCTCGCCAAGGAGAAGAAACAGCAGATGGAGCAGTATCGCGCCGAGGTGTACGAGCAGCTGGAGCTCCATAGCCTCCTGGATGCAGGGCTGGTGGGTGCAGGAGCCCGGGCGGGGTGGAGGAAAGCCTTGGAGAACTGTGTGGTTCATAAAGGGGGATGTATATCTTTGAAGTGTCATGTAAAACACTTTGCAGGGGACAGTTCTGACAGATGGCTTCACCTCTGTGCCCACGTCAGGGAGGTTTTGCCTCAGCATGTTCTTTCAGGAGGTTTACAGTCATGGGAAGGGGAACGAGCCAGGGTCAGGAGAACCGAGGCCCTGAAACTTTTCCACTGCATCCCTTCGTCTCTCCAGCTGCTTCCTTATTTGGAAAATGCAGTGATGACCCTGCCCCACTTACCCCTCAGTGTTGTGAGGACCAAGTGAGAGCTTAATACTAACAGCTTCGACATATGGAGAACATGGTTCCCATAAGGTGCTCTCCCTCCAGTCTTCAGAACTCAGGCAGATGGGGCAGTCAGCCCTCATGACAGATGAGAAAATGAAGGCCCTGAGATACAGAACAGTGATTGAGAGTGCGCACTCAAGACCAGGCGTGGCGATGCACGCCTGTAACCCCACCACTTTGGGAAGCCAAGGCGGGGAGATTGTTTGAGCCCATGAGTCGGAGGCCGGTCCGGGCAACATAGACATTGTCTGTACAAAACATAAATAATGGCCAGGCCTGGGGGGCGCACACCTGTAGTCCTAGCTACTCAAGAGAGCGAGGCAGCAGGATCACCTGGGCCCAGAAGTTCAAAGCTGCACTGAGCTATGATCGCACCACTGCCCTCCAGCCTTGGTGATGGAGCGAGACCCCGCCTCTAAAAAAAGAGAGTGCATGCTCTGGAGCTTAACTGCCTGGGTTCAAATTGAGGCACCACCATTCCAGCTGTGTGCTTGCAGACTAATTCTTACAGGTTTATGCCTCAGTCTTCCCTTCAGCTTTCCAGTGAAGGTAAAAGAGTAAGCTTTAATGGGCCCACCTGTCCGGAACACTCAGTACCATGCCTAGTGTGCAACTGTGCAGTCAGCTTTGCTCGTTGCGATTATATACCATCACTTTCCTTTGTACACACAGTGAGTAGCAGTGCCAGATTTTGAATAAAAGTCCACTTGGGAACAGCCCAGGTGCTTTCTCCACAGCACCACGTTCCTTCAGGGGCACATATGTGTGGACATGCTCCATGCACAAATGCCCATTCCTTCACCAGCATTTTGGGGTATGTGTCACTTTCGTAGTGACACATACCCCAAAACACAAACATGGAGAGACAGCGGAGATGAGTGCAGCTTGACTGTGAGGGACTTCCCAGTAGATCTCGCTCTGAACGCGCCCTCTTGTTTTGAAAGCTTCCATTGTGCCAAGGAGCCTCTTCCAGCACAGCCTTCCTAAAGTCTTATTCACCTGCAGGAGGGAGATGGATATATCTGGCATGACAGTGGCATTTGAATTAAATGTCCCTTTTTGTTCCCTAGATACGAAGACCTTTGGATTTGCCCCTCCAGCCCCTCACTCACTCTGGCAGTCCTCGCCACCAAAAGCCAGGGCCCTCTCTACCACAACTGGAAGAAAAGGGAACAGAAAGCCAGTTTGCAGAACCTTTCCTTCAGGAAAAGCCTTCATCATATTCTCTAACTATTTCTCCTCAGCATTCTGCAGTAGACCAGTTACTCCCTGCCACAGATCCTCATCCAAAAATGAATGTAGGTAACTCCGTTTCAGATTGGTGTTCAATTTTTTTTTTTTGAAATGGAGTCTTGCTCTGTCGCCCAGGCTGGAGTGCAGTGGTGCAATCTAGGCTCACTGCAACCTCTGCCTCCAGGGTTCAAGAGATTCTCCTGCCTCAGCCTCCCAAGCAGCTGGGACTGCAGGTGCGTGCCACCACACCCAGCTAGTTTTTGTATTTTAGGTAGAGGTGAGGTTTTACTATGTTGGCCAGGCTGGTCTCAAACCCCTGGCCTCATGATTCGCCCCCTTCAGCCTCCCAACATGCAGGGATTACAGGCATGAGTCACTGCGCCCAGCCGGTGTTGAGTTTATTTGGATCTTTGTAGAGGACCTGTGTCGGGCCAGGTGCTGTTCCCATGCATGGGTCTGTGAGTGCACCACAGCCATGCCCACCTCCGTTCCATTCTGGGAGCCATGGTGCTGAATGAGAACATAGCAACATGAGCAATAGGCCTCATGACACCTTAGGAGTATGTCTATGAAAATCAAGCTTGATGCTTGTTTCTAAGCAACAAACTCAGAAAATATCAGAGATCTTGTCAGAAAAAAAGATATAAGAGCCTTTACCGTAGTCATCTCCATGTCAGTTGAACTGAAATTGCTACCAGTAAACAGTAATTCAGGCACACTCTACCTTGCTTTTTTTATTAGATCTGTAATGAGTTTAGAAAGGAACAGAAAGCCTCATCTAATCTTTTCAATTACATCCTATTTGTTGTATAAATTTTTCTAATCTGATGATACTGATATTTAGCAAAATCACATCTTTCAGATCAGGTAAAGCAAGCCTGCCAGTGAGAGCTGTGTTGGAGAATGTGTCCCACAGAGCTCCCCAGCGCTTTCCTCTCTCTTTTCCTCACTGCAGGCAGAGCCCCTGCCCTATGACGAGCGGCCTCTTCCAGCCATTCGGAAGCATCATGGTGAGGCGGTGGTGGAGCTGGAAATGAGTGATGCAAACATCAGCAGTGCTCGGAGGGGAGGCATGTCTGGGGAGCCAGAGCCCCTAACCGAGAAGGCCCTGAGAGAAGCCAGCTCTGCCATTGATGTCCTGGGAGAGACCTTGGTAAAAAGTGGGGGCAGAAGGGAGGGAAGGCTACATGCATGCATCTGTGTATCTGCACATAAAGGAGGAAAATGCCCAGGGCTTTGTGTTTGTAATGTTTTTGATTTCCCTCTGTTCTTACTGAATTGGAAAGTCTTTTGTTAATTTTTTTTTTTTTTTTTTTTTTTTTTTTTT